ACTACATTAGAGATAGGAAAGACTAGAATTAATGAAATGTTAGAAGGATATTAAAATGTTCCAATTCAATTAAACAAAATCAAAGTGAAAGGAGATGAGGTTGTGAATGAAGGCAGTAGTTATGTGAATGGAGAGGAGGGATCCAATTCCAGATATATTGTGAAATTAGAACCAATGGAAATTTGCAAATTATTGGATTTGGGCCCATGGAGGGCAATGAAGGAGAATCAGAATTGGCATAGGGTTTTCCTGCCTGAATGGCTGAGAAGATACTGGCAATAAAAATTGAGGATCTGTATTAAAGGAAGTATATTTCAGGCATAGAGGATGACCTATGCCAAAGTACAGAGGAATGGCAATGCAGGAGGAACATAGGAGCTAATGAGTTACTTTTCTACATTCTGTGACCATTCTCTTTACCTCTTCCCCCAATCTGCTTTAGCTTCTAGGCTCCTTGAGGGAAGGGATCATGTTGTTTTTCATCTTCACAACTGTTCAGGATAGTGTAGCATGTAGAGTATACTAATTGATTAAGTAATTCATTTTGACTTGATTTGAAACATTACATCAAACTAAAAGACAAGTGATAGAAATTGATTTCTGGGCATGCCTTTGGACAGGTTAAGGCTCAGCTGACTGCCAGATAATTCAGGTAGAGATAAAAAATCAGCTGATACAACAGTGGGTTTGGAGACAAGGGGAAAGATTGTTGGTGGATATAGATATAATGTGTTCTCCTATTGAGGTGATAATATTGTCAATGGGAAGGAATAAAGCTATCATTTGAGAGGACATTGGTAAATAATACTACCTTAGGTTAATACACAGGCCATGCAACATTTTATTCTCTTTGCAGTAGGAAGTCACTGAAGAGTTTTGAGACAAGGAGTGAAATCGTGAGACCTCTTTCCTAGGAAGGTTATTTTGCCAATTGTGTGAAGACTCAATTGGAGATGGGAAAACACTAGAATCAATGAGAGAAGTTATAATTCTATTAAAATAATCAAATTCAATTCATTTCAATTCAACAAATATGTTATCAATGAGAGATGTGATGAGAGTCTGAATTAAGATAAGTAGTTTCATGAAGAGATAGTAGGAGATAAGTTCAAGGGATACTGAGAAGATAGAACCAGTAAGAATTTTCAAGTGATTGTATGGAGGAAGAAGTAATCAAAGATTTAGAGTAACACACAGGACAAAGATATGTTGAAAATATTCTAAAGAAAAATCTGAAAAGAGAGTGGGAATACAACAGAGTGAGTGTTGCTGGAGAAGAAAAAATAGGATTTTCCTTGGAAATATTGGATTTCACATGCCAAATCTTAATTCAAACTAATAAAAAATGAAATTTGTATTTAGGAAGAAAGGCAATAATGATTGTTGTTGCTTCATTAAATCTGGCTTAATTTTTTTTTTGTTTTCTTATATTGATGATTTAATTCTGATAAGATAGTGTTTATTGAACACAGTGATATTTTTAATTTCCTGTTTTTTTTTCATGTTCTGCAGCCTACACGAGTCAATCTAATCCTTGAGATACTGGTTCCTATTGGTCAGTAATTGTATCTATCCAATATTTCACTGTTTTTTAATTTTTAGCCACATCTCTCTACCAGATCACATTGGTACTAGAGTAACTTAGCTCAGGACTTTGGCCCATTAATTTGTCCAATCAACATCTGTTTGGTTTAGTGTTTTGTCAGTATTCTCATGGTATTTCCTCACACACTTACAGTAATTGCTAAAGATGTGTTTTCCCAATTGCAAATAGAATAATCTAACCATTCAAATCCAAGGGTGCATGAAAGAGTCAGCCTTCTGATTTGGCATCTTATAATGGGATGCAAAGGTATGGGGTCAATGTGAAAGTGGTAGATAGTCTAATTTATTAATTTTTCAATGAAATGCTTTGTTGTTATGAATTTTTTTTTAGGCATTTGGGGTGAAATGACTTGCATAGGGTCACACAGCTAACAAGTGTCAAGTGTATCGTCTGAGGCTGGATTTGAACTCAGGTCCTCCTGACTTCAGGGGTGGTGCTCTATCCACTGCATCACCTAGCTGCCCCCTTTTTTTTTTCAAGAACTCTTTTTTTTAATTTTTTTTTTTGCTGAGGCAATTGGGTTTAAGTGACTTGCCCAGAGTTACACAGCTAGTGAATCTTATGTGTCTGAGGCTAGATTTGAACTCAGGTCCTCCTGACTCCAGAGCTAGTGCTCTATCCACTGTGCAGCCTAGCTGCCCCAATAAAATATGGAACACTTCATGAATCTGCATGTCATCTTTGCGCAGGGGCCATGCTAATGTTCTCTGTATCGTTCCAATTTTAGTATGTGTGCTGCCGAAGCAAGCACTATGCTTTGTTGTTATGTACACAGCTTGCCACAATTGCTTGGAGAAATTAATATAAACACAGTTCTAAACCTGGAACAACCCAAAGTCATAAACAAGACAAACATTTTTTATTGATAGCAATAAGACCTGAACAGAAGGTTGTACCAATTAGATTTATCACATTCACCACTGGGCAATTTATTACATCTAATGTATTTTTTTGAGCACCTATTATTTTTTTTGCACTCTACTAAGTGCTAGGGATTCAAAGACAAAACATAAACATGTGCACAGACATGTAGGTATAAAATTTGTACAGAGTAAACACAAACTAGCAAATATCAATTAAGTAAGCAATATAGTTACTTGGATTGATAATCATGATATTAAGCATAGTTGGTATGTGTGTCAACTTGATTTGCACAGCAAAGTCTTTATAGCTGAAGGCCTGCATTATAGGTATCTGGAGCATGCAAAAAATAGATTTCCAAACTTTAAAGTATGACACCCCTTTCGGAACATAAAAAAAAAAATGCTCTCAAAGCCCACATTAGAGCAAAATGAAGATCAAGGTGACACTCTCAGTTAAAAATATTGACTTGAGAGTTCTTTTTTTTTGCCTGATTACCACAACATTTTCTTTTAAAATTTTTATTGATATAATTTGTTGTTACATTGACTAATTTCTTCTAGTACCCTTCTCCCTTCACCGGGAGTTACTCCATATAACAAAGACTATTAAAAAAAAAAAAGAATGAAAAGCAGAAAAACCTTTTAACAAAACTGATAAAGGATTTTGAGGTTTTGTTTTCTTATTCAATTTGTATCTCTTTTGTTTTATTGGATTATTTAATCAATTCATATGTAAAGTTATGAGTTAGGTTAATATTTTTATCCTTGTCTCTAATATGACTTTCTTTTTCTGAATTGTGATTTAAAAAAAAAATCATTCCCTTTAAAGATGTTGTATATTAAGTTATTTTTGCTTAAGTTATTTTAAGGAAACCCTATTTCCATAGGTTCTCTTCACCCTTAAATTAATCCCTCCATTTCCAATTGATAAATGGTCAAAGGAAACAGGCAGTTTTTAGAAGAAATCAAAGCTATCAATAGTCAGATGAAAAAATGCTCTAAATTACTGCTGATTATAGAAATGCAAATTAAGACAATTCTGAAGTAGCACCTCACACTTATCAGATTGATTAATGTGACAGAAAAGGAAAATGACAAATGCTGGAGGGGATGTGAAAATAGAAAGGCACTAATGCATTCATGATGGAGTTTTGAACTGGTCCAGCCATTCTGGAGAACAATTTAGAACTCTGCCCAAAGGGCATACTCTTTGATCCAGCAATATCACTAATTAGGTCTGTGTTCCGAAAAGATCAAAGAAAAAGGGAAAGGACCTATGTGTACAAAAATATTTATAGCAGCTCTTTTTTGGGGGCAGATAGTTGGAAATTTAAGGGATGCCCATTAATTGTGGAATGGCTGAACAAGTTGTGGTATATGATTGTGATGGAATACTATTGTACTTTAAGAAATGATGAGCAGGGCAGTTTCAGAAAAACCTGGGAAGACATTAGAAAACTGATAAGAAGGGAAGTGGGCAGAAGAGAATTCTAAACAATAACCTCAAGAGGTCAAGAGGCTTAGGTTCCCAGGTTGGAAAACATTGGTCTAGAACATCTGCTAATCTGTATCTATAAATTAGTTTGACTGTTTAGTATTTGAAAAAGCAATTAACTTTTTAGGTAATTTGGTAATAATTATGATGACAGAAGTAGAACTAGAAGCCACCTAAATGCTATTTAGTTCCACTACCTCATTTGTACAGGTAAAGAAACTAAGCTCCAATTAACAAATATAAAGAAAATGATTAGTTATAGTCATCATTTGCATAATGTTTTAAGGTTTTTGAAATGTTTTACCAATATTATTTCATTTGATTCTCACAAAAACCCTGAGAGACAATCTTTCTTATTATCTCCATTTTACAGATGAGAAAACTGAGGCTGAGTGAAATGACTTGCTGAAGATAACACAGCTAGTAAGTATCTGGAGCAAGATTTGATATAGAGCATTTTTTTAAGTGCTTACTATGTTCCTGGGACTGTGCTCAATCTTGGGGATAAAAATCCAAGAAAATACTCCCAAGAGTCATACATTATAATAGGAGACAAAACATAAATGAGAGCTGGAAAATAGGGGATGGCAGGAAGGATAGTATTCATTAATGGGGAGAAAGGAAGACATGTAGCCAGTGTGGAGGTATAGCAGACCAGTTTTGTGGGAGGTTGATTCTGAGAGTGAGCTAGAAAAGAAGAGTGAGCAAATGACTTATGACTCCTTCATTCACCAACATTTTTCAAGATAATTTATCTGTAGGGTCACAGCATGACATGTCTCCTAATTACAATTTAATTTAATTCTCTATTTTTAGGACAAATAGATTTCCTCAATGTTGCATTTAAAATATTTCTCAAGTTAATTCAGTTTTTGAGATGTTTCAAAGAGTTTTCAGCCTTTAGTATTTTCTTTATGAAATGTAGAGTTTTTTCCCCATATTATCATGTATTTGAGGTATTCATCCAAAACTGTGACTTCATATAGATTTTCTTGTCTACAGAGATATTTTGGATTCTTGAAGTGTAATCAAGTAGATGGAGCTGAAGAATCACTCTGTGCTAAATGAATTTATTTTGTTAGGACTCACCAGTTCTTGGGAGCTTGAGATTTTCTTTTTTGTGATCTTCTTCCTGGCCTATACATCAATTTTGGCTGGAAACAGTCTCATTATACTGATGGTGATCTTTGACCCCTGCTTGAATTCCACTCCCATGTACTTTCTCCTTGCCAATCTCTCCTTTCTTGACATGACCCTTTCCACTGTTATTGTCCCCAAAATGATCATAGACTTCTTTAGGGAGAGAAAAACCATCTCCTTGTGGGGCTGCATGGCACAAATATTTTTAGTTCACCTCTTAGGGGGCAGTGAGATGGCCCTTCTTATAGTAATGGCTATTGATCGTTACGTTGCAATATGTAAACCCCTCCACTATACAACTATCATGAACTGGAGAATCTTGGTAGGCAGTGTGCTGCTGTCGTGGGTTGTTGGCTTTATGCATACCATGAGCCAAATGGCTTTTGCTGTAACCTTGCCCTTCTGTGGTCCTAATGTGATTGATGATGTTTTTTGTGACCTTCCCCTGGTGATGAGCCTTGCTTGTATGGACACCTATATCCTAGACCTTCTTGTCATTGCTGACAGTGGGTTACTCTCACTGATCTCTTTTGTCCTTTTGGTTGTCTCTTATATTGTTATCTTGGTCACCATCCAGCATCGCTCCTCAAGTGGGCTTTCTAAGGCTCTGTCCACATTATCTGCTCACATCACAGTGGTGATTCTCTTTTTTGGGCCAAGTATTTTAATCTATGCTTGGCCAGTTAGTAGTTATGCATTGGACAAATTCCTCTCAGTGTTTTTCTCTGTTGTCACTCCTCTCTTAAATCCAGTTATCTACAGTTTGAGGAATCAGGAGATGAAGGCAGCCATGACTAGATTGAGGAGCAGGCATATCAGGTCTAGGCCTACTTATTAGGTGAGGATCTCTCAACCTAGGGCTCACACTCCTCTGAGGGAGCCGTGGATAGATTTCAGGGAAATCTATGACCTTGGATAGAAATGGAATACATTTTTATTTTCACAAATCTCTTACTGTCTTCAGTTATCCAAAAACATTATTCAGAGAAAGGGTTCATAAGCTTCATCAGACAGCCAAAGGCTAAAAACTACCAGACTAGACAACGCTCATACTGAGGAAAATTTTTACTGTACAACCAAGATAAATTTCTTCTTTGAATGGCTATTTATTATTTTAATTCATTTATAAATATATCTATTTTTAACAAAGAAAAAATAAATTATATGTATAAAACCATCTATTATTAATATTTTGGATGTATTTTGGTTCTGTATCTGTTTTGGAAGTTTATTCATTTAAATGAAGAAAACTGAAAAAAACAAATTCAAATTAATTAGTAAAAAATATATTGGAGCAGCATTTGGGTCATCTATTGTATCTGTCATGTTATTGTAAGAAACTAAAATATTTAAATTCCATCAAATTCATTATTTAACCCATGTGGACCCAATACAAGACTAAATATGAGACCATGATTAATGCCACAGTATGCCACACTCATGGTATAGTGTCTATGCTACCAAAGAACAGTTAGGGCAAAGCTGAACTGTTCTCCATGCTACAAATTTCAACAATTTTATAATATTTTGAACCCATCCTAATTTCCCTGAGCATCCAAAAGATTTGGCATATTTTTAGTCAAGTCATAAGCCTGTTGAACCAACCAGTAAAAGAAACTAAGAAGAAGCAGTCAGGAAGAGATAATCTAGACAGAATGGGTAGTTAACAATTCCATGCCACAAAGACATAAAGAATGATGAAGACTGAGAAAAGTTTTCAGATTTGGCAATTGAGATATCATTGATACCTCTGGAGGGAGCAATTTCAGTTGAGTGATGATGGATGCTGGACTCTAGATACAAAAGATTGAGAAGTAAAAAAAAAAATAGGAAAAGGAGACAAAAATGTAAATGGAAGGCTTAAGGAGTTTGGATATCAAAAGGAAGTGAGATTAAGGTTATAGCAAGAAAAAAGGCAAGGTGAAGGGAGCATTTTAAGGATAGGGGAGACATTGGCATAAGAAATACCCTAATGGGTAATATCCATGGTACATTGTCAGTGGAAAAAGTGACATGTTATAGCAGGGTATATTTGTCTTCCAATGTATAAACTTGAAAACTTTAAGAATATATCCAGCCTATTCTAATTTTCCTTAGAAGCCCATAATGAATCTAGGAGTCACAGATTTTACTACCCCATCAATTTTTTAGTATCAACTAGTACTGTTTCTTGAGAATATTAAATATCCTAAGTTCATTATCTGTTTTGCTGTGTTTTATTTTTCTTTAAACTATTTATAGTTTCTTTATACTTTATAGTATTTACTTATAGTTTCTTTAAACTATTTAACTTGCTTTATAATTATAGTGACCGGGTTTGGACATGAAGAAGCAAGGAACAAAATGTACTTCCCTCCATCTTTGCAGAGGTAGGGGTTTATGGAATAGAATATTTCATATATCATCATATTTGTCCACTATATTCACCCATTTTGGTGGACAACATTTACTTTCTTTGTTTTTTTTTTTTTTAATGAGGTGTAGATAGCTCTGTAGGACTGTGCAGTGGAAAGAATATATTTGAAAATGAAGGGAACATAAAAAAAAAGATTGTGATAACATTTTAAAGGCAAAGTAAGTACATGGAACCTATGTTACATCTCCCCACATATCCACATGATGATCACCTTTACTTTAATAGCAATCCCCGAGTTTCAGGCGCGCAGCTAAAATGGCAGAGGGAAAGCAGTGACTTGTTTGAGCTCTCCCCTCAAGCCCTTCCAAATACCTATAAAAAATGTCTCTAAACAAATTCTAAAGCAGCAGAACCCATAAAAAGACAGAGTGAAACAAATTTCCAGCCAAAGACAGCCTGGATGGTTGATCATAAAGGTATATCATGCCAGGCGGGGAAAGGAGCGCGGTTCAGCGTGGGTGTGCAGGCCGCAGCAACTCTGGAGCAGACCTCAGAGGACTGACTCGCAGGCAGCTATGGCAGTTTCCAGACTTCTTATCCCACGAACACCAAAGACAACTTAGAAGGTCAATGGGAAAAGTCTGTGACTGTGGTGACAGAAGGAGCTAGGTCTCAGCTGCAAGTCCCAAGTGTGGGCTGCGGCTGTTTCATGAGCTGCTGGCCCACAGACTGAGGGGGAATCAAGTGGTTGATTAGAGGGGGATTACAGGGATCTTTTTCCCAGTGCTGATGCAGGAATCTCTTGCTTTGCCCGTGCTTGGATCTAGGTCACAGGTCTGAGGGGTGGTCTGGGGGAGGAGGAATGCTGGTGCAGTGGAGCTTGTTGTGGTGGTGGAGAGGAAACACCTCTCCCATTATCATAGCACCTTGGAAAAATTGACACTTTTCAGGTCCCTAGAAGTAACTCTGAAAACAGTTGTACAAGCCCCCAAAGCTTGGGACAGTACATTCTCCACATTGGAAACAGACTTTTACCTTAACAAAGAGTTTAAAACTTAAGTAATTGGCCGGGATCATGAGTAAGCAGCGCAAAAAGAGTCAGACTATATTAACTTACTTTGGTGACAAAGAAGATCAAAACATAAAACCAGAAGAAGACAACAAAGCCAAAGCTCCTAAATCCAAAGCCACCAAGAAGAATATGAATCATTTCCAGGCCTTGGAAGAGCTCAAAAGGGATTTTGAGAAGCAAGTGAGAGAAGTAGAGGAAAAACTGAGAGTTTTGCAAGAAAATCATGAAACACAAGTCAACAGCTTGCTAAAGGAGACCCCAAAAAATACTGAAGAAAATAATACCTTAAAAAATAGCCTAACCCAAATGGCAAAAGAGGTCCAAAAAGCCAGTGAGGAGAAGAATGCCCTAAAAAAGCAAAATTGGCCAAATGGTAAAGGAAGTCCAAAAGCTTACTGAAGAAAATACTTCCTTAAAAATTAGAATAGAGCAATTGGAAACTAGTGACTTTATGAGAAATCAAGACACTGTAAAACAAATCCAAAAGAATAAGAAAGTAGAGAAAAATGTGAAATATCTCATTGGAAAAACAACTGACCTGGAAAATAGAACCAGGAGAGAGAATTTAAAAATAATTGGACTATCTGAAAGCCATGATCAAAAAAAGAGCCTAGACATCATCTTTCAAGGAAAATTGCCCTGATATTTTAGAACCAGAGGGCAAAATAGAAATTGAAAGAATCCAGCAATCTCCTCCTGAAAGAGATCCCCAAAGGAAAACTCCTAGGAATATTGTAGCCAAATTCCAGAGTTCCCAGGTCAAGCAGCCAGAAAGAAACAATTCAAGTATTGTGGAAACACAATCAGGATAACACAAGATTTAGCTGCTTCTACATTAAGGGACTGCAGGGCATGGAATATAATATTCCGGAGGGCAAAGGAGATAGGATTACAACCAAGAATCACTTACCCAGCTTAACTAAGTATAATCCTGCAGGGGAAAAAAATGGTCATTCAGTGACATAGAGGACTTTCAAACATTCCTGATGAAAAGACCAGAGTTGAATAGAAAATTTGATTTTCAAATACAAGACTTGAGTGGAACATGAAGAGGTAAACAGGAAAGAGAAAATGATAAGAGACTTATTATGGTTGAACTATTTACATTTCTGCATGGAAAGATGATATTTGTAACTCATGAGACCTTTGTCAGTATTAGGGTAGTTGGAGGGGAAAAAATTACATGTACGTATATATAGATATAGATAGATAGATAGATAGATAGATAGATAGATAGATAGAGAGATAGAGAGATAGAGAGATAGATAGAGGGCATAGGGTGAGTTGAAGATGAAGGGGTCATATCTAGAAAATAAAATTAAGGGGTGAGAGAGGAATACTAGGAGAAGGTGAAAGGGAGAGGTAGAACGGGGTAAATTATTTCACAAAAAAAAAACAGAAAAGAAAAGGCTTTTACAATGGAGGGGAAAAGGGGGAAGGTGAGAGGGAATGAATGAATCTTATTCTCATAGAATTTGACTTAAGGAGGGAATAACATACAAACTCAATTGGGTATGGAAATCTGTCTTACTCTACAGGAAAATGGGGGGGCAAGGGGACAAGGGAGTAGGGAGATGATAGAGGAGAGGGCAGATTGGGAAAGGGGGTAATCAGAAGCAAGTACTTCTGAGGAGTGTCAGGGTGAAAAGAAAGAATAGAAAAAATGGGGGGTGGGATAGGATTAAGGGAAATAGAGTTAGTTTTTCACAGCATGTCTACTATGGAAGTGTTTTGCACAACTGCACATATATAACCTATATTTAGTTGCTTACCTCATCAATGAGGGTTGGTGGGGAGGGTAGAAGGGAGAAAATTTGGAATCCAAAGTTTTAAAAACACATGTTTAAAAAAATGTTTTCACATGCAGCTGGGAAATAAGAAATACAGGAAATGGGGTACAGAAATCCATTCTGCTCCATAGGAAAATTGAAGGGGAAGGGGACAAGAGAAGGGGAGGGAGAGATAGAAGGGAAGGCAGACTAGGGGAAGGAGTATTCAGAATGCATGCCATCTTGGGGTCTGGGGAGGAGAGAGATGGGGTGAAAATTTGGAACTCAAAATCTTGTGGAAGTAAATGTTGAAAACAAAAAAAAAATAAAAAAAAGATAGTTTCAAAAAAAATAGCAATCCCTTCCTAAAGTCCAATATCTAATTTAAAAAAAGACTTTTTCAAACATAGGAGGAGACAATATATTGCTAAAAACCCACCTATAGACTCATTAGGTAGCAGAACCAGGGTCAAAACCCATGTGTTTCCATATGATACAACGTCATTACACTTATTACATAGACCATTTCAGTTAGAGGTATTATATACACATACATGTGTGTATATACATATATATATATATATACATATATACACACACACATATAGATGTACTGATGTTTACATATGTGCATGTGTATA